AAAGAAAGAAAACAATAACAACAGGAAAGTTCTTCCAGAAGAGGCACCGAAAAGATAAAAATAAGAAATCTGCTCGATCCCACGAGGAGGCCAAAACCAGTTTGAGCGGGCAGAGAGTATACGTCCAACAGCTAAACTGTAGTTGACAATTTCAAATTAGCGTAAGGTTGACCCGCTTGGGTGTGCACGGTGCGCTGATACTGCAGGGCGTTGGGGGGCTTACAAGTGAGGACTTACTCAGATGATGATGATAGCAGCAAAGAGCGTCACTGAAGAAAAAGGAAGGGCTTAGCGTCAGTCGTTCCAGCGATGAAGAAGTCAGAAAAGATCAGAAAAGAAGAGACAATTGACGAGAGGTGAGGACACTATTTTACTAGATACAGATGGCGACTTTTTCAGCAGGGACCTCTATTTGGCGTGGAGCCAACCTACTAGTGTAGACTGTGTAGAGGCTCTGGGGATAAGGGAAATGTGAAACGGGAAGGCTGATTGACTGGGGCCAAACCAATCCGATTCATCATCATCACCCTAGGCGCAACGCCCCCTGGGAGTTGTGGACTTTTCATCATTGGCGGGTGGGACGAGGAGAAGCTGCGCGGGCATCGTCCGGGCTGAGTCCTAGTCACGAACCCTGAATTGGCTTAGGTATCCCTGTACATTGTTTCGGACTCAACAAGACAACCGAGACCAACATGCTGATTCGTTCCCTCCCGTCCGGCATTTCAGAAGCAACGTACTCAGGTCCAGCACTGTCTTGTTTGCCGACACCGACAGACAGACACACACACACACACAAGGGAATCCCCCGAAATCGCAAACCCCGAATCCGGGCTAGTGTTATTAATAAACTTGGGCCATCAGCGCAGCTGAAACACACTGTGTTCGCGCGCGCTAACTCAAACCAATGGGTGGAGGAGTTCAGGTGTGTTTGAAACACGCCAGACCAATGCTAACTTAGCCACTACTAGTACTAGTCGCACCCCCCCACAGGAGGAGGGTCACGTGTGCGACACCGCCTGTCGCAGCCAGAGTTCCATCTTTTCAGATCTCCCCGATTCAATCCTCAGAATGGTAAGTAGACAATCATTATCTGTGGCTTGATTGGTTATAGATGAATCGGATGCTTTAAAAATTGTTCTTCAAACTCTTCCACAACTTGTGAACGACACAACAACGCGTGTTCCCACGGTTTCGACTGGTTGTTGATGTTGAGGTCATCGCTATCCACACTTGCTACAAGAATCAATAGTGTGCTTCTAGCACACACCCACATTGGAGTCCACTGTAAATCGTTCCAATTTCATTACGGTCCACCACTGAGCAAATACTATTGTTCGTTATCAGTGCCTCTGCAACGCTGTGTTTATTTGAAACTTGACTCTTGTCATTTCCACGTGGCTGCAATGTCCAACCAAGGACTTACCCTCCGTACAACTCCATCCAGACATCGGGAACCATTGAACTTGGCCACCGGTTCGGTGACACCTTTGAATGCTGTGGGGTCGTTTCATCAGAACGGTTTATTAGCATTTAGCGATTATCTCAGACGAGCATATCGGTTCGAGCCGCGGTCATCAGTAGAATTAAGGGCTTTGTATGCGAAGGGGCCGGGGCCAGAAATGGAAAAGAAAGACATGGGTGCGACAACCGTGCAGGCAGCTTCCCATGGCAGTACTGATTTAGTGCCTTATTATCTTGTGATTCATTTATTTGAGCAATATAAATTATTGTGGTTCCTTGTTCACATAGTGCTTATGGTCATAGGCCACCGAATTACCCGATCTAAGACAACTCCTAAGGTTGATTGTCGCCTAGAGGCAAATCGAGATAATCGCCCGCTTAGCATAGTCCATATCTGCAGTCTTTGCGCAAGTGAATGCCTCATTCACACTCATAGAGTGTTTCTTTTTTCCCTCTTTAGGCGGAAAAATAGAGACCGTTGGATAATCCCACATAGCCAGTTTGTACCACGGTGCGGACAGTGTCAAGTCTTGCCTAGCGTTGCCCTAATCCACGGATCGCTTGACCATGCATAGTAACAAATCCCAATTAAGGCGTTTTCATACTATGTACATGCAGTTGTCTATTCTTGTCTCTTGACTTGATGTGTTAATCTGCACAATTCATGCATCAACGGTAGAATTCAACATCGAATTCTGCAAGTGTTGGCAGTCTGTTTCAGACCACCGCAAAGACTAAAAATTTTCTTCCCGAGATCCGTAGCCCTATGCCCACTTTTGCCTGGCTATTTACCAGAGCTACTTCGGAGTATATACCCGTATTTGCAACGGCCGAGCACTTGGTCGCTGTCTGGCCGTTGCAAAAGCGAACCCTGCTTCTTTTACATCGGAGATCAGGTCAAGAACGGTTGGTTCTCATGCATACAACGCCATAGACTCGTTTCAGGAGATTAGTCACAAGTTTCTTTGACGCGAGGTCATTGATCCTGTATTCATAGGATTGGTGTGAGTGTTTCGATATCTATGACCGCGATGGTGATCTGACTTACCGTGGTATGGCTTTGGAGCACTACTTGAGCTTTATTTTTTTCCCCTCCTTTTGCCCCCTTCCTTTTATCCTGTTCCCATACTGTTCGTGCTTTTGATGTGGCCAGTATGTCTAAGAGACTGAAGCAAGAGAGAACTGGCTATCCTTGGAGCCGTCATTTCTAGCCACTGTCCGCATTTGACAGGTCAGCGGCATGACCATAGGAAGGCACTGTCATCCCTCTGTAGTTACAAAAGTTTCAATCTGGGAAAGCATACTCTAATTGAGCTTTCAGTTATAGCCAGACTTTACGCCTGATGCTTCGTATTTTATGTGGAACAATGACACACGTTGGGTGCTAAACAATACATGCTGACAATTTGTTTCATCTACATTGGAGTAGCTATTAATATCAACTTCGCCTTCTCAGGATTCCCAGATATTGGCAAAGGACGCAAATTGGGGGCATTGCGGGTTCCCTCTGTCCATTCGAAGAGGGTGTTGTTGAGGTAAATTTTGTACACAAGCGTGTCGGTGTGGTTCTCATCTGTGAGTCTTTGTCTTCGGGTTTGTGTTCAGCATGTACTCCCATAAAAAGAGAGAAAAAAAGAGACGAACAGAAAAGCTGAATAGACATTTCTCTACTCCGTAGAGCTGCATGGTCATACATACTATCTTGGCATCATCCTAGTAAAATAATGCCTCCATGGACATGGGGATAGAGAAATGACCGGTGTCTTTTTAATGAATCAAGAGCATACGATAGGGAGTCGATTGAATCAAATATATATAAATTGTCACATTATGTTTGAAAGAGCGAACACCAACGTAATAGAATGTGGCAAATCTTTTTCGTGACTCACTAGTCTCTGTTGCTTTTTTTCTATTATTCTACTCTTTTTTATTCTCACCCATTTCTCCTTTCTTTGCAAGTCCTTTGTCATCTCAATACATTCGTTTAAGCCCTGGAACGGCGTTCGAGGCAAGTCCTGAGGTTTGCTTTACTTGGACAAGTATTGATGCAAGACCATTGAGGTTGTTCCCGCGAATTTTAGAATTTGTAGTTCACCGTTTGGTATTGCAGCAGCATTATTTTATTTGAAATTTTTTTTTTTTTTTTAAAAAAAAAAAAAATTAATTTCTTGAATCTAGTAATTGTGGAGAGGTGGTTTGAAGTGCAGATATACCAGAAAAATGGTCGTTGCAACATGCTCTCCAAGCCAGACAAAAAGCGATACAGTCAATGTTTGGACCAGGGGGTTTTTGGACTATGGGGATGGGAGACTATGAGTGGTTGTTGCTATAGGAACTTGAAGCCGTTTGACCATAAGATGGTCAAATATAGGTTAGTGCCGACAGTCCTTATCTTTCTGTACAGAGTAGACTTCTGTTTTATTTTTATTTTTAATTTTATTGTTTTGTGTCCGTGCCCCCCTTTGCGCGTCTTTTCGATGTTCTCCATCGGGGAGTTGCATAGGATGTATCCAACGCAAGTACTCCGTACGGAGTAGAAGAACATCAACAGCCTCGGGGATAAAAATTCAACTAACGTTGGAACCTTAGTTGCATTCAATCCTATCATATCATATCGTAAATCCTATCTGGAATGGTATCACGTCAAGGCAATCGACTATTTCTCCGGGTTCTGGAGCCGAACTAGAGTGTTAGTAGCAGCTCCACCATGTCTCCAGTAGAAGAATCCAGCCACCCTTATAAACGGAGTCCTTCATTTCCTGTTCCTGGTACCTTTTTTTTTGTTTTTATTTTTTTTTAAAATTTTTTTTCTCTCTGGCTGGGTCTTTCCTGCCCTTCCCGGCCATACAACGAGGGTTATGGCTAGATTTATTAATAGGAATCCGTAGTGATTTATATAGATTAGGGACAAAGTTGGTGCCTTAGGCGATTGTGCTAAACCACTCACTCCTGAAGGTCGAGAGTTACGGAGTAGTAGAAAGAGGAGAAGAAGGTACTCTTTATCCCTGATCCCCACAACCAATAGAATGAAATTTTCTCCCCTCTTCGACCAATCCTTTGCCATTATTTTGCTTTTGTATTTTTCCACCCTGAATAACTTTTTTTTTGGTCATAATTTTCTGATTGATTGATTCCTGGGGAGGTGCATGAAATCCTTGGATGCCTGACCAAGAAGTGTAAGTAGTAGTAGCATGCAGATGTCCCACGACCTAGTGGATGGGATGACGCCAGCGTCTGCTCTCCCACCTTCTGCCGAAAACCATCATTCCGACTCTCGACCTCAACGACGACAAACCGTGTCTGCGGTGTATCCGACCATCCATGCAACACAGAGAGACGCGCCTCTTAATTCGGCTCGAATTTCCAGAGCGTCAGTATACGGCTCCGGGGTGAACCATTCGTCGGCGTTGGTCAGTCCAACCTTGACCGAGCTTCCCGCGCGACGCCCACGGAGCAATACTCTGGGGGTTCAGACAAAGTTTCTACCAGCCCAGCAGCAGTCTCATCTATCCCGTCTCGATCAACACCTTCCCGGCGCCATGTTTGTGGACGATCCCCGTGACGCGGGCACCGCAACCGCGCTAACATCCGGTACCAGCGATTCACCAACAATAACAACAGCCCCAACGGCTCAAGACATGATCTCCTCACCATCCAAAACCCCTGGCGCCTCTGCATCGCAATCTCACATGTCGGTCGCTTCGGCTCCCAAATTACCACAGAGTCGCTTCAACTTTGAGTATCAGTTGCCCCTTCGCAGACGAACCCTAGCATCGCACAGCTCCGTTATCGACACGCCCTCTAGCCTAAACCCGACGCCGACCCCCCAGCGCACTTTCCTGTACGACAGACCGCGGCGCTCAATCCAGGGCTTCAATCTGTCCCACGGTCGCACTCCTAAGGAATCATCTTCTCTACCCCCGTCGCCTCGGTTCGCTGTAGACGATAGCGATTCTGCGCTGGCCCCTGATCCTGATTCGACCATCAAAGCACTGAGTCCCAATGCGACAAAGCGCCGGAAAGATTCCTTTTATGCCCAGCAAACGCTTCCAAGCGTAAAGAGGAGAATGCCATCGTATACAGCAACTTACACCGAAGGAAACGATCGCAGCCGTACCGTGAACGGTGTGAACAAATACGCGACAGAGGATGGCAATCGGACTCCAGTCGCGGACGACGCTCGATCCGACATCTTCCTCAATATCGCTAGGTCGGACTCAAGCCGTCGTGAATCCCTTGGACGGTCAGAACTTAGACGGGTGAGTAACGTTTATTTTGAAAGACGAACATACCAACAACCAGACCATGGCCCTGCAAATGGATGTGCGATGGGCCCTCCCCTTTTCAGTGTCTCGCCATATGTTTGAATAATTTTTCGACCGTGAACTGATGAGAAGGTTGAAAACGTTACAGTCGCGAATGAGGATGTCCGGTAGTGGTCTTCGCTCTTCAACTTCCCGCGCCAACGAGCAAACGTCTTCCCCCGATCAACTTCGGTTGAATACCTACGACAGCCCCTTGCATTCCAATAACGGATCTCCATCCCAACCACGCAGTTCTTTAGCGTACTCCTACTCGGCTTCTGCTCATCCACTAGACGATCATTCTCGTTCGCTTCATTCCGGCTTCATTTCCAGCTCCAAGTCCACTATTGGTGTACCGAGAAGTAGACTAAGCCAGATCAGCCCAGATGATTCGCCCGAGAAAACGTCCATCGAGAGGCGAGGCTCATTACCGGATCCTAGAACGTATCGTCATTCAACGCTTTCGACGATCCGAAGCAGTCGGCAGCCGTCCAGTTCCGAGGTCACAGAACGTGCCCGAGCCGAGCCTGATCGATCCCGACAAGATGGAACCGAGTCGACGCTGTCCACCACTGCACCTTCTACTGTCTGGGATGAGCTTGAGGATCTTAAGTCCCGGATTCGCAAACTAGAACTAACCGGGAAGCTGCCCCCGTCTTCGCAGGAGGCTATCTCATCCGCTTCTGCCGAACGGCCACGAACTGCGACAACTACGGTGACAACCGTTTCATCTTCCCCAAAGCGCGGCCGCAAAACCAGCACCTCATCTCCTGGCTCCGATTCTATTCCTCCCACAAACCCAGTCCATCCCCTTTTACAATCTGCTTTGTCCAAAGCACAAACTGTTTTGAATAAAGAAGTATTCACAGCCTTGGAAGCTACCGCGACAGATGCGATATCATTGTCTACCACTTTGAGTACCAATAAAGCGCCGTCTGGAAACGTCTCCGTCGTGAATGGGTATGGCCCGTCCGACAGACTGTCGAGACGGAAGGCGGATAGTGTTTGTCGCGGGTTGACCGAGCTTTGTCTTGCATTGTCGGATGAACAACTCCGGAGACAGCAGGCCTCAAGCAAACCTGACGAAGACACGGTAGCGCAGCAGCCTATTGGCGCTGACGATGAAACTTTGACTCCAACTACACCATATCGACGCAGTACTGCCCAGGAACCCGATGTGCTAAGCCGTCGGCAGAGTACTCGTGCTGCAAGCCGTCGGTCCAGTTTTGCAAATCCGAGCGGCAATACCTCCGGCGAAAATAATAAAGAGGTTAACTGGAGTAATGATACAATATCCGATGCCAAACAAGCGCAATCTCCTGGTTCTTCACTTCCCACGAGTCGACTAAGCCGACTCGCGTCTTTACGGGCTCAAAGACTGCAAACCGAGGATGAACCTACCGAGCACCGAAGCCCTCATGGCCGATCAATATCAAGAAGCATGACGGATATCAGTAACCAGAGTTCCGCATATCGTGCCCCTCCGCGCCAGCGATTTTCCCAGGGATTTCCTGCTTCTCAAGCACCAGAGCCTCAGCAAGACCCGACTCCCAGATACTCAGCACAATCTCAACAGTCCCAGTTACCGCAACCCCGTACGCCAACTGCTTCGCAGTCCGGCATTCCACTCCGCAGAACCTTGATGACTCCAGCCACGTCTCGCTCAAACATCCAAGCCGGATCTCGTCGGTATGGGTTGCCTTCCGGGATCTCTACCCCCAGTAAAGCCAACGACGATGCGCCCATTTCTCCTCGACAGGATCCATCTCAAACAAGGATCATCGCCCCATCAAACAAACTAGCAGCCAGCTATACCCCCATATCGCGCCCGAGAACGAACAGTTTTGGAACCACACGGAGGTTTGGCGTCCGGCAACGACCCATGGCCATCTCTGACGGTGCTGTAAATTCCTTCGACGACAACATTGATTGAACGTTACGCCCTTTATCGTTTACATGTGGTTTTTTCTGCTCTGGAATACAATAACAACAACAAACGTAGCTTACGCCCTTCATCTAACGCAGCGACTCATGCCTGGAATTTGGATACGGATCAACCGGAGTTTATTTGTTAAATCGAATTTTTGTCTTCCTGCGTCCCTTTTATTTTGGCCCTCAGCCTCATCCATGCATTATACGAAGCAACTCTGTGTACATCCATCCTAACGAGCGCAATTCTGTCTTGTATCTGATTCAAAACATGCATGCCACGGGCACACACACAAACGCATTATATGAGAAGAAAAAAAAAAAAAAGAGAAAACCAAATAATGTAGAACGACCACACAAGAGCCCTGAGCGAGTCACTAAACTGTGAGGAGAGAAGAAAATGAGGGGCGCAGTGCTGCCAGGGTGGGACGAAAAAAAAAAAAAAAAAAAAAAAAAAAAAAAAAGAAAAAAAAGAAAAGAAAAGAAAAGAAAAGATCATACTAAGTTGCTATCCTTACATGAGCGACTACTAGCTTACATGGACGAACTCCTTGCTCATTTGCCTGCCCATCCTTATTTTCAACCTCATGACATCCTGTTTGTTTCTTTTGTACATGTACAAAGGTTTCGACCTGGACACGTTTGTTCATTTCGGCGTGTGTGTCTTTCTCTTTCTTTTTCATCTCCCGATTTCAATGTACAAAATAGTTTTCTTTTTTTTGTGTCGTGTTTCATTTACTTTACTTTTTCTTGGGGATAGAGCTGGGGTATGTTATGTACAGTGCATACCTACGTAGGGGCTGGTGTATTTCTTACATCTGTTCCCTATGCACACACGTATCTCATATTACTATTCTCTCTCTTTTAGTTTTGTTTTGTAACTTTTTCTTATTTATATTTTCTCATATGGCCGAGGTCGACTGTCCTGTGCTTCTGTGAGCTGTGATTGGAGGTAGGGTTAGGTCATGTATGGATCTACAGAATTATTGGGTTTCCTAATTGTGCTTTTCCCGAATGGGTGTAGAGATGTCGCCTTTATGTATGCAAGATCTGATCTGCAGGAATCTACGTCATTGAATTGGTTATAGGTCATAGATCATACTGCTTGTGATTTTTTGGTTTCTTTCTTTTTCTCCACTTTATTCATTTAAATTCCGTGACGATCGGAGGTCGTTTGAAAGATGCTCTCACATCTAGAGTAAACTAGCTATAGGAATAGGTCATTATCTTTGCTCTACTATCAGCCATCTGTCATGATCTCAGACAATATTTGCCTCAGATTGTTTTCTTCAGCCTCAGAATCCAATATGGATGAGGCACTCAAGTTCTGGATATACATGTCGGATGAGTCTGTCGCAATTGAAAAATCAAGGAGCTATAGGAAATAACAGGATAGGTCACAAGATAGATGCGTCAGGTAAACGGTGTTGAGAAGCTGCTCGAGATAATAATTTCAATTAGACGGGAAGAAGACAGTGCGATTCAGGTGGGAAGGATCGAGGAGCAATGCGGTGAATACTAGATGCCGAGAGAATAGGAGGTAAGGAAAGGGTGGAGAAGCACTTTTTTCGGGAGGGAAGACGGAGCGGCAGTACAAGGCGGGACTAAAGGAAACGAGTTGGAAGGCATATTAAGAGTATTGTCTTGTCGGCCTTTTGAACTCGAATCCTTTGAGACAAGGCGATCACCAAGGTTGTAAAGGGTTGGTATCAAACAGGCATGTGCAGTCCGTCCTAGCGAACCCTTGCTTCTTGTAAACCAAGAAAGCTGCACGATACGAAAAACACGAAAAAAGTAAAAAGACAACGACAAGAAGCAAAGTTATTAAAGGAGAATGTGCGAACACAAAAGGGGCTGTGAAATTCCCAAGAGAGAGAGGCTCAGAGCTTCTTCGGGGATGATAGGATGGGGTTTCTCAGATAAGTCAATAGATGTATGGCATTTATTCCTGGGGGAGCTGGCTGCGGCGGGTCTTCTCGGCTTCGAGGTTTTCGTACAGAAGATACAAGGCTTTCTCATTCGCCTGGGCACTGCCCATGATGGTGAACATGCGCTCGCCGGTATCATCGTGAGGAGCCTTGGCGATCGAGATCCTCGCTCCAGAGCTCCTACGGATCTCAGTAATCTTGCTTCCTCCTCTACCGATGATACATCCCACCATGTCAGCAGGAATGCTGATGTTTTGCGTCTGGATTTCCTCGCCGTCCTCGGTGACCAGGGGATAGCCACGGCTTGATGTGTCGGGGTTGGAGCGTCTGCCGTAGCCACCGGATTGGTCGCTAAAGTCGGCGCCATTGCCGGTACGGTTGTAGGGGCGGCTGCTGTAACCATTGCCTACGTTTTGATTGGCTGGGGTAGTACCAACAGATGCACGCACAGCGGGGTTGTACAGGATGGTACCAGTGCCCCGTTGCCAGTCATCAATGAGGCATTTTCCAATTTCCCAGACAGCCTTCTCAATGCCTTCCGGAGTACCCTGCACTTCAACAATCCGCTCGGTAGACTGGGGAAGCATTTCCTTCTGAGCGACCATTCGTACACCGGATGCATCCTGGATATGCTTGATTTTCAGGCCGGACCGTCCGATGATAGTGCCCATTTGGTTGTGGGAAATGAGAAGGCGAACCGCTAGCATATGTTAGTTGGTCTTCCCGACGAAAACTGATGGGGTCAGATACACATACGGTGAGTTCCATTGTTTGATACGATACCACCCATACCCATTTGCGGGGCACCTTCTAGCAAGCCCTTGGCTACCAAAGCATAGGCCCTAGCGGTGCCTTGGAGAGGACCGGTCACTGTCAGGACTCGATCGTGGACGCTCGGAACAACCTTGCTCACACCGGCCTTGACACCAGTTTCGTCGCGCAGGTCAGCAACATTTTTACCGGCCTTGCCGATGATAACGCCGGCTTCCTTGGACGAAACGATCGCACGGAGGGTCAGCATCGACTGGGCGTATTCTTCTTCGGTCTTCGGAGTAATGTCCATATCACCCTCGTCGACCATGTTGACCGCATCAGTCATAGTCTCATCAACAACTTGGGTATCGTGAAGCTCGGTGGAATCCATTATGTCGAAGGAGCGAAGAGATCAGTTAGACGCAGAAAGTTTCGATAATTAGGATATCAGGATATCTTTAACGGAGTTTCTTCTCGCCAGTTAGCCGACAAACCTAAACAATGGATGAGGAGAGAAGTTGCGCGATCAAAATCCATGCTTTTAGTGTTGGGGTTGAATCAAAGGGTGAAAGAGACATGTACGTAATATATTGACGGCGCGATGAGATAGACAAGCACAGATGTACCGGCTACTTACCCAAGGATGAGAGAGGTGGCGCAAAAGAAGTATGGAGGTTGCGTGGAAATAGAGTATTTGATGGTCAAAGGAGCCGAGAAGGAGGGGGGATAAAGATCAGTCTGGTCGGAGAGGGGGAAAATGAACCACTGTGATTTCAGAGGGGTTTCGGCGGGCGGGGGAAGAAAGAGGTGGAGGAATTACGGACAAGGGACGATGGTAGGCGGCGGGGAAAGGAAACGGAAGAAAGAAGAGGAGGAGAAGAAGAAGAGGGAGAGGGAGACGCAACGGAAGAGAGGTGAAGGTTGAAGAGGAGAGTGAAGACTGGGGGAAGGAAGGGAAGAGAGATGAGTTAAAGGAAGAAGAGAAGGAAAGGGAAAAAGAGAGCGTGAGAGAAAGAGAGAAGCGGAAGCAATGAGTAGTTTGGGCTTAGTTTACTTTTCTGGTTGGTTGGGTCTCTCTTTTTCTTCGAACGGCGAGCACAAACACTTTTCATGACTTCTTCCACTTACTCTTGGTCGATCGATTGAGTTAATGCACTCAGTCTTCCATTCTTTGCTGAAGCTTCCTCCTTTGGTAGTTTTTTTTTTTTGGGTTGAAATTCAATTTGTTACGTATCGCCAACCTTCGACGCCTTGCTCTTCACTCATTTACTTACATTCATTGCTAAACAACTTGGTTCACCATTGAAACACCCCACCAATATTTCCATTTCGAACAAACCAACAAACTAACAAACCAACAAACCGTACCATTAAGAAAAGTACATTGATGTCGATAGAGCTTTCTTATCCAAGTACATAAACTCATCTCATGCTTAATTCTAACAGCTTATAGACCGCTCCACTATTTACACCTCTGCCTAGCTATACATAAAATCAACCCAGTTATCTTCAAAACATCAAGGCTCTCGTCCATTTATATCTTCACCGGGTCTGCACTTATTCCCTAGCTGTGAAAATCACCTTCTGCACTTTCATTGCATTGAAAAGCTCGTAGCCTTCTACAGCTTGAGACAGCGGCATGATCTTATCCGCCATGAATCTATTTCCACTCAATTTATTAGATATGCATACCCTGACCAACAACAAGAGAAAGATAGAAGAAAACGAAAGACCCACCCTAATTTATGTTGGTTCTTCTTTAAGACTTCCAACGCTTGAGGAGATACCGACCTCACGGGGCATCGACCCATTTGGATTCTCAGGTTCTTGTCATATGCATCGTTTCCAGCCCATGGGATCTACGACAAATTTAGCATAGCACGACACCATAGGGCAAGGCTGCACTGTCCGGGAGTCCTTACTTCTCCGTTGTGGACACCAACGCTACTGATCGTCCCCCAAGGACGCAGCAGATCAAAGCCAGTCCTCAGTGCCGGGCTCAACCCTACTACTTCAATCACAGCGTCCGCACCCCTTCCATTTGTCAGTTCCTTCACTCGCTTATCCAAACCTTCTCGGTCTTGCTGGAAGTTCCAAGGCTCAGCCCCAAGGGACCTTGCCAGCTCAAGCCTTGACGGAATAGAGTCCACAGCAAGGAGATGCTTAGGCTTGAACTCCAGGGCATTGATCAGTGCGCAGAGCCCGACCGGACCGCAGCCGATTAGTACAACTGTCTGCTCGGATATTTGTTCTGGGGTGTACCCCTTAAAGGCATTGCTGGCCGCAAAGTAGCCTGTCGGGAAGATGTCTGCCATGAGCACGAGGTATTTTTCCTCGACACCTTCGGGGGCTTTCATCACCGTTCCGTCTGCATTTGGGATGCGGACCTAACAGGGAACCGTCGCCGTCAGACCTTCCGCAGGTTGTAAGCTCATGATGAAGTTACTCACGTATTCGGCTTGTGCTCCATCTAGATGATCACACCCGAAAAGCACGCTCTTCTCACAGCGAGAGGAGAACCCTTGCTTGCAGTAGAAACACTCGCCACTATGAGGATAGTTAGCGTACACTGAAGAGACACTTCCGACTGCCAGAACAGCTTTCTAGCATTCAACACCCCTAAAGCAGGCCTCTATCACTCCTCTAAAAAGCATGTAGAGATTACTTACCAAGAAGTCGTAAAAGCACTCACGATAATATCGCCCTTCTGGATAGATTTAACGCCACTCCCGACCTCAACAGCCTCACCCGTAACTTCATGGCCCATAACAAAGCCCGTACCGGCGGGTTCTATTCCACGAAATGTGTGGAGATCACTGCAATAGTTAGCAGCCGTTTGTCCAAAGCGTAATACGGAGAAATTGGTATGCCATCATTGCCCTACCTTCCACAAAGCGCAGTGTATGTTACTTTGACGACAATGTCTCCCGGATCTTGGATTTTCGGCATTGGTCGTTCTTCAACCGCCACTTTATAAGGGCTGTGAAACACTACCGCGCGCATCTTGTTTTCCGTGGTCATTTTGTTAAATGATCTAGGTTATGGACGATGGTGTATACAAGGTATTTTCTTCCGAGCAGAATCGGGTCATTGAATCGAAGTACGTAAAATGTGCCGTTTTGGAGAAACCAACACCCCCACATCCGATAAACGGCCACTGCATTTTCTTTGCCCCTCGATTTATGATAACTGTGGGGCTGTCACCCCCAACACTTCCATCAGCAAAATTTTAAACATCTGAAAACTATTGGCCTTGGCCAAAAAAAAAAAGGGCACTACATGTCTAATAGCTAGGAGAGACATGAGACCCTTCTGTAAGGGGGGAAAGCTGAGTTATTCTGTTACATATCATTCTAGCCTCATGACCCAGGAGAATGAGATGACGATTGCGGACTTCATACGCTCTTGAATTGAAGCACGAATGATACAGAATGTTGAGTATCGATTGAAGCCGAACAACCTCGAATAAGCCAAAACTGGTGTGCTGCGAAATCCGGTTCTCAAAGTTGGTCAAAGCAAAACATAGTGCACCATTCAACGCCTTTGCCTTACGCCAGGATTGGAAACGCTCACTGTATGAATCAGTCTTTGCAAGTATTGCTGCAAGTCCTTCTCTGGAAGCCTCACAGTAAACAGGCCCATCATACTACCGTACGCCTCTCTAGACAGGACGCCTGCCCGCGATCATGACGATGAGGCACCTTAGCACACCACACACAGAAGCTCTTCTTCCAGGATGAATTTGCCCTCCTTGTACTTCTCACTGGTCTCATACGCCTTATCATACTTCCACCCTACCGTTTCCCTGCATTGTCTGCAAGCGATGTCTCGAACGATATGCCTCCCAGTGGTCATGCTACGCTCCACCGCTTCGGATTGTGTGATATTGACGACGTTGTTGAATAGATACGCTTTGCCGTGCTGACCACGGAAGTTCTGCGGGAAGGTCTTTTAGTCAGTACATATCTCTTGTATTGGGGGGATAGGGAGGACGAGCACCCACTCTGCTGATGATATCGTCATAATCCGCAAGATGCGTCTTGCACTGCTTGCATCCAAAGATTTTATTGGAAGTGAGGTAGACGTTATACGCGAGACCCATTATGTTCTGCTTTAGCTCCTCTTTCCCACTTCCGGTAGCTAGGTAATCCGTTCTGGAATGTGAGCGTGACAAGACAAAGGTGGGTAATCGGATTTGGTCTATTATGAAGGTAAGATGTGGCAGAAGGGAGTAGAACAAGATCAATGAATGATGTCTTCTTCTTGAGTTCCCCGCCTTGCCTGGGATTGGTTTTCCTTTGCAAGGGAACCCGACCTGGCCGTAACTTCAATGACGGTGTGATTTGAGACAAGGCCCAAGTTTGGAAGTTCGAACAGTGTCGGGAACCGATGGACCAGCAAGAGGGGTTGAACTCTTCTGTCCTTCTAAGTTTAGTGGTAGTTGAGATAAGCTCGATAGGAAAGTACGCAAGAAGTCTTCCAAGGTAGCAGCGGATCGTCTGTCTGAGAAAGAAGTGGGGAACTTGTAACCCACGGCAAGACGTACGGAGTAAGATTGAATAATGACGCCAGCTCACAGCAGTGGATCTAGTTTTACCATCAGACGATGAGACACCAAGGTAGGGAAGGAAGATAAGGAACGGTCGGGTGATAATTAAAGGGGGGCAAGAGACCAGCAGTTGGAATGTATCACCAGTCAGGTAGACAATGAAATCGGTGGTTGTCCGGAGCCGTAGGCTGACTATCGGGCAGCTGCCTCAGGTCCCCAGTGTAAAATTACGGAGTACAGGAATAAACCGATCATGGCATGGGTCGATGGTGGAGCTAAACCACAACCCCCGCATCGGACCAATCGAAATGCATTAATTCCATGGAACTCCCCAAGTGAAACCCGACAAAGATTTTAATTAGTTTAAACGTCAACTGGCTAGTGTCTGGGATCGGTAGTGTGAGTTGTCCAAATGACTTGTTTTGTCTTATCATTTGCTATCAGAGGACCCTCAGGCTGACTTAACCTTAGTAGGTATGTACTAGGGGGTATCTACTATATAGGTACTCCGTACTAAGGGACCTTAGTACTCACATATAATACTACTACTACGTACCATGTATTGGTTTAACCGCAACGGGTCTAGTGTACGGGGCAATTACAATCATCGTCATCACTGGCATCATCACAGATCGAAGCTGCAGGCACTTGATCCTGCGTGAATATTACTGATTCTCTGGGCTACGGCCATTGGCTGAGTCAATATTAGTGCTAATAGTACGCAGGTGTACCTGGCAATTCTCGGATCTTCTGGCAACATTCCAACGCCAGGGTTATAAGTAATTCACCGTACTGGAGTGGGGCGTAGAGCGGGTGAGACCCTTGTAACTCTATAATCCGATAGCTTAAAACTCGTAGATATGGCCAAGGATCAGCTTCCTGCAGAAGAGGTTCATCGTTGACCGAGTAAGGCAACGTTGGTCTCCCAGAATTGTCTACACTCAGTATGACCCCAATGGTCGGTCCACCACTCTCCGAAGCTATCCTCTACCTGGTCATCAATCTTGGGTAGCCGTTCCTCTCTTTTCAGTCCGCAAAAGGCACAAGCATGGGAAGCTTTCAAAGCTCCTTGTTCAGGAGTGGCAGTCCTCGCTCGGATGTTGGTAGGGATAGCATGGATTGGACGCCTGCCAGATGCCTGGATCACAGAATTGAAAAGGGCGGTCCGGTCACGCCACATGGAAATCACATCAACAGCTTCCTGTTGTTCCTTGATGTCCTCGTTTTTATTGACCGTATTAAGTTTCATCCCTCCTGGCTTCCCTGCGCGTGCTGGGCCAATCCTCATGCTCTGACTCAGGATGCTATCCCTTTTCCATCGCAATGTGCGGCCCGCAACAACTCGAGCTGCTGCTTTCAGAGTGCAAAGAATCAGCAGGGCGACATTCTCAATATTTCGCTTTTCCTGGACGTTCTTCCTAGCTTCAGTAGCCTCATTCCTGAGTTGATCAAAAAGTCGAGGAAATAACTCCAACAGAACAGATGGTGGTGGTATATTTGTTGGACGGATCTGAGCTGGAGAGACAGCGTTACTTGATATGCTAAACGTTGGAGAAATCTTCCTCTCTAGATCGGTTGCGGCTTTTGCTTTCTGTGTTGGTGCCTTTGCAGACGCAAGTCTTTGGCACCCGACGCTCTTGGGGGGTTCCGTAGGCGGGCCGTCTACGAAGTCACCCCAGTCATCAAAAGCATCTTCATCTTCAGCTACGCCAGAAGCTGTAGATGTAATATTGTTGTTTCTATGACTCAAGCTTTTATTAACAACGGTGCTGGAGGCTTGAGAATGCCTTTGCGGTGATTTATCTTCTATTGATAACGAGTCTAGCAAATCAAGATGACTGGGCGAGACTGCAAGCTTTTTCGGCTCGTTTGGACCCTTCATGGAACGACGTGAAGCATTTCCTTCAGTGTGACTAAGAATTGCTGGTGCGATTTGACAAGACGGAGTATCCGCGGATTCGAATTCCCCCCAGTCTTCACTATTGTCGTCGGGAGGGTCTTCAATGGTGGCATCAAATAGAACATTACTATCGTTGCCATAGTATAGCGAATGTGATACATTAGACTTCCCCGATGTATTTTGATGGGCCGATAACCCCCGAGGTTCAATGGTGCGTGACGTAGATACATCTGTGGGAGGACCATTGTCAAATATTTCTAGTTCAGGGATTAGAGAAGATGTTGCACCGACAGATCGGGCCTCCTGCTGGGCTGTAGTCCCTGAGGACTGATTAGCTGGGGCCCCGAATCCAAATTCCGCGAACAGGTCCGCTGACATTGATGTTGGGAGTGAAACGATTCCTTTCGCGAAGTTGGTGGGCAGGTTTCTTTGTGGGGGTCAACTTCCGCGGCGGACGGATGATCATCTGTCATAAATCGTATTAATTAAATACCGATCGGTTACCGAGCAAGAATTGGTCTATGTTACAACTATCACTAATCACTAGTATCAATTAAACGTTCTCCTGGATTCAGCCTCTGCCTGTTTTCACAGGATGCTAAAGGCAGCATTGAGGTAGCTTCAATCCGTTTCTATGCAAGGTCTTAGTCTACCTTCATTTTACTAAACAGCAGGACTTACAGACTTCGGTAAACACAAAAGTATAATCTCTTATTCGATATTTGTTTTAATATTTCATAACTGTGATAGTCGACATTCGAACCGACAGGGAAGGCTTGGAAGCTCAGATATCCTTTATTAAGTTTCTCGAGATAGTCACACTGAGAGAAAGCCGTTCCAAATTGTCACGATTGGTTAGATAATCAAGGGTATCGTGGTCAAGCAAAGTTCCAACCAAAGGTCCATGAAGTGACAAATCAGTGACATATGGTGTATAATCAAAGACAATAAGAGATGTCTCTGGCTTAAGACGATGGGTCGAATGATCGGATCTGATAATCAGATGCTTCAGCCTGGAGACTGGTAAAACGACCAAACCCTCCAACTGCTGTTCTTCTTCAATCTCTGAGAGACTAAGTTTTGTAATCGCAGCAGTATAGTCTTCTTCGATTTTTGGGTATGGAAGAGGGATAGAACAGCAAAACTTCCAGCTATACAAGCGGAATACCACAGTGAAACCATTGGCTGGTCACTTCGGTGAGTGGACCAATTTTGGGTTGCTGAAGACTTTCAGCTAAATCTCACCAGGAAGCCCATCCATCGCGAATATACTAGTACTGAACTAGATTTGTGAATACAATATGTAAATGAAGATTCTATAATTAAAAATAGCGGCCGTTAGGCAACAACCTTGTATGACATGCCTGAGGCCTGTGGTTCAAATGGTACATAGGATTACTCCGGATAATGATGCTTCATACTGCTGATGCTGATGCGTTGTATTTAACTTGGTTAAAGAGGGTACAGAAGATACGGACGGGTGACCCGATCACCTGATCCTCACTGCTCACCCTAAAGTGGGGATTTCCGGGTGATGCCAGTTACTCATGGCGTACTACACGTTGCTTTTTG